TATTCTTTTACTAATCCATTTGAACTAATTAAAATACCTTAACTGGCATACTTAATCACAGTTATGTAAGGAGAAAAATGTATGTTTCAAACTGTGAGCTTTCTGCCCACAATATTCTCACTGACTACAAACAAATAGTTTTATATCAATATTTTATGAATTACATGGATATTTTGCCTGATGCTAAAATACAGCAGTGCTTTTCCCTGTCAGAAAATTCATGCTATCACATGTCTGCTTCCATAACAGACCCCTACATCATGTACCTAACTATAGAGTATCTCAGATTTATTTTAGGAAGTAATTAGCTACTAGTAATGAATTTTATAAAACTCTTTTGCCTTAGGAAGAATAACAAACATATTTCAGAGTCTAACTCACAAGTTATCAGCCTTAGAATTTTTCTGTTGAAAGTTTTAAAATCTTTTCTCTGTTCTTACTATGTTTTACTGTAAATGTACTTTGACCTATAAATAAATTTATAACTTAATTTAAATCCTGAGAAGTTATTTCAGGTTCTTTTATGACCATTTTGATGCTGATGATATTTTATGAATATGCTGTTTATTAACTGCTGCTTTTGATTAAACCCTTTTTTCAGAAAGGCAATTATTCTGCATACCACTATAGGGAAAATTAGACAAATGTTGAAGTTATTCTTCCTTAACTGTAGAAACTACAAAAAGATGTAGATATTATTTTTAATATTTTAGTCAAAATCATGCAACAGATGGATACTGAGACAGAGTAAAATGCAACAACTCTATGGGCTATTATTAAACTCACAAAGAAAATTAGTATCATAAACACAGCTCAGGCTAACACAAAGTAATTCTGTGGATTTAATAAAAAATTCATATTTACTGATAGATTCACTGTCTGTTTTTTTAATAAACAAGAGAGCAAATAAAGGGCCTTATGCACATCCTGTAGTAAATGATTAATTTACAAAGACTGTTTTGCCTTACCTATCCTATAGCCTGATAAAGTCAACAATGTTTTTTAACTGGTGGAATCTGCATTCTGTCAATGGTCTTGAAGAGATAATGTAGCCCATATAAGTCCAATTACAATTAAAATTGCTTGGAAGAGGTTCTTTCTACTAGGAAACAACAATTTCTAGTGTAGGAAATCAAGCTTTATCATAACAATACTATCCATGGAAAGAGTGTTTTCCTCTCAATATTTTATATCGTAGCATCATAGAATGGCTTGGGTTCGAAGGACCTCAAAGATCATTTAGTTCCAACTGCCCTGCCATGGGCAGAGATACCAGCTGCTAGATCGGGTTGCTCGGGACTCCCATCCAACGTGTCAGTAGTTAATTTTATTGCACTTATTTTATTCCCTTTTTTTTTTGGTCCAACTCTATATATTTTTACTTCACTACTACATTACAAGTACATGAAATGCCCTTCCAAATTTACACACGAAAATAAGACTTCATTAATGCTTTCCATTTAGAAAATTGTCATATTTTCAACTTTTGCAAGTGAACTAAATTGTCTTAACCAAAGCAACATGGATAGATACCTTTCCTCTCCTACAGTCTGATTCCTAGGTCAGGTATGGACTGATTCAGCAATACAGTAGCCCAGCATTTCTGAAAAATATTACAGTGCCTTCACTTCTACAAGCAGATATCTTTTGTGGCGCAGTAATTCTCTGCTGCTCTTTCAGAGACACTGAAAGGCCAGGAAAGGGTACAAAAGGGCCTAAGCAAAAGGCTGGATAGGGTCTTTGGTATCCACAGTGAAAGAATTTTGAAAAGCAAAACCTCATTAAGAAATGCAACAAGGGTATGATTCAACTGTTTTCAGCCATACCACCTCACATCAAAGACAGTCTGGTCTTTTGAGGTTGGCTTGTCAAACTGAATTTAAAATTGGCTCTTCTGAGTAGTTATCAAAGGTTTGTAATGGCTGAACTGAGATAAATGCTTTTGATCCAGCTGGTCATGATTTCTCCTAGTGTTTCCTGCTTTGAAACCTCTACTGCATTTTGCTAGCCAATTATACATATAGTTATATATATACAAATGTTCATGAATCTCTTTCCATCTTAGTACAAGAAGTGACAAAACCCTGAAAAGACAAATTTCCAGCTCAGAGGAGGCTGAACTTGGTCCAATTTTATATCTATGCACAGTGTCTGAATCAGCTGAAATGTAGAACACTTGGAAATAGAAATCCATAACATCTTCACAGGCAGAACTTTTACTGTGGAAATAAAATTGCTCAGTACTGAATGCTTTCTTTTCTATGTTCATCTTCCTCTCCAAACAGTGATATGTCATTATTATTATTTTTATAATTTCAACAGTTTTGATGGGATACACAATGAAAAGCAATTCAGCTAATTCCTTTGTGACATAAAAAATTGTTTTTATTTTTATAAACTATTCCTTGCTGAGATAGAAACACAGTCAAACTCTAAAGTGACAATTCTAAAACCTGGTTTGGAAATTAATTTTGTTCTGAATAGCATAGAGCATTTTAAGAAAAGCTAGTCTTTTCTAGAAAAGACCACCACTAGTGGTCCCAGTCACTGACTGAAACTTTTATCAGCTACTTGAGAACAACATTTGCTATCTTTTTACCAGCAACTCTGGAATGCTTTCAGCCATATTTTATTAGCAATAGAGGAATGAGAAAGTGTACTTCACAATCAGCATGGAAATATCAGCTTATAGATTTATTTCAATTGAAAGACAATGGAATAAATGAGAACTTTTCTTGACAGAAGAAATAAGTAAAGTGGCGGGTATTTAGACTAGGGAAACACAAGACTGTTTGCACTGAAGCCTGCAGAAGTGTTGTTGCTTTACATTTTTAAAAATTATGTGCAGTTGTTTAGGTGTCCAAATATTTACTTAGAAATCTATTTGAAAATCTCCAGTTTGTTAACCATGGTTTGTTTATATTTTTAGGTATCAATTCATCTATCTACATGTAATTGTGTACTGCCATTTAAATTGCTTCAGGGTAGCCTACTTGACCTCCAGCAGTCATGCAAGTTTCTCCTTTGTGCTATTTGCCATATCTCTCAGCTCACAGGGAATGTCACCATACCTTATATGTCACAAATAAAATTTTATCACTGTGGGTCGTTGAACCGAGTCAGATCTTTGAAGATAAAGATAACATCCTTGCAGACACATACACATAAATGCTTATATTTACATTTATATGAATGTAAATGTTTTTGATCACATATTTAATTTTTTTTTTAGTGCTGTTCTGTGTTTCTTATTTTCAGTTGAAGGACAAAAATATGGTTGTGGTTGGTGAACAAAATTGTTCTTTAGGCTCAGCTGCTCTGAGCACAACAGCAATTTAGACACTGTAGACACCCACAGGTTAACACCTACATATGGGTTTCTTAATACTGATTTCGTCTGTAGATATCCAATAATTGTAAAGAAAGTTAAATGTATTAGGACTAACTCCAAAGAAATAGTTGCAAAAAAATATGTACTAAAAAAAATGTACTTGCTTTAGTATCTCTCATAGAGGAGTATGGATTCTCCTGCGTACTTCAGACAGAGCACAAGTATGTCTATCAGAAAGAACTGACATGTTCTCATGCTTCAGTGACATATTTATAATAGTATGGTACTTCCTTATTTATCAGCATCCATACCAATGAAATGTAATGGTAAATGCACATTTAAATAGCTCTGAATTCATGGAGTGCTTAGGACAGTAAAAGCTTCCAAATGAGTAATTGCTGCACGCAGACAGCTTTCACAACCTAAATTGCTTAGTGGCTGGACTTTAAAATAGCGTGTGTTTTTATTAGTTAATCTCCAGGCACTGTAGGAAAGGCAAAAACGTACAACAGTATTCATATAAGAAATGAATGCAGTACAGTATTAGTGGGAAAGAACAATCAGAACTGTTTCCTCCTGGGAACCGTTATAAAAAGTAGACTGTAACAAGTTTCTTGCCTGAAGATAGTTACAAACACAACATATTTTTTGTTAGACCACATTTTTGTAATTTCAAGTTTAAAATACTTTTCAGAAGTTTTCCATGACTTTCCAACTTATCCTCACAATATATTCTGATGAAGAAAATATACAGTGCCTGGGGGGTTATAATTTTCTTACTTGCAGGTAGATACTGTTAGTGTGGGCAAGACTTTTCTTCAATATAAGCAAGATTCTTGAAACTGAGTTAGCTCTCTTTTAAAAATCCATGTCTAAAACAAAATGTCATACTCCTATCTGCAACACATTTCATATTTGATATCTACTATATTGTATGTGTAAATTCATTCTGACCATGAGCTTGATAGATTCTTTTGTGGAATTTGTCAAATATCAGTTTGAAGACTGACTACAATTTTCCATATCATTTGTATTTTAGCATACCGAGTGCCTCTTTTTTTTTTCTTTTGTCAAGAAAGGCAGAGTAGAAGCTTGTTCTTCTAATTGTTCTGATTCTAACATTGAACGTATTCAGTATTGTAGTACTATATAAGATAAATTTTAAAATACAGAACAGCAGTTGACAGGGTGTTTCCTACTAGTTTGATGCACAATAAAAACACAGAGAAACTATAATAAATGGATAGCATATTTTTTATGTTGTCTGGATTACCAATTGTAAATTAGCACTTCCACTTTCATCTCACAGATGATAAGCTTAGGCAGCAACCCTGCTTACATGATTTATAAATCTATAGAGACATATCTGCATGTCACTTGTGGCACCCTTGACTGTGTATGCAGTAATGGAAGAATGAAAATATCCATTACAGAAAGAAATATCTTCCTTTCTATTCAGGTGGGCAAAGAACTAAGTAGCATGTGAGTTTTTTAATAATATCAAAAACATCTATTTGCTCACTATATAAAAATCAAATTATTTAAAAATATATTTTTTCTTTTTTCTGTTGGCTGATGTCAGATAAAAAAAACACATACTCCTTGTTTTTATTTCTGCAGTTCTGAGCACTTGTTTTATTAACATTCTTATTTGTGTGGACTTTCTTAGGTTATATTCAGTTGGAGGCCGGGATGGAAGCTCGTGTTTGAGTTCAATGGAATATTATGATCCTCACACAAATAAATGGAACATGTGTGCTCCTATGTGTAAGAGAAGAGGAGGTGTAGGAGTGGCTACATGTGATGGGTTTCTTTATGCTGTGGGAGGCCATGACGCTCCTGCTTCTAACCATTGTTCTCGACTGCTTGACTATGTAGAAAGGTATTCAATTATACATGCATTTTTTTAAATAGAAAATAATGTCTGGTAGCATAATTTTCTTATATTTGTGATGGTAAAGTTAAACAGACTTTCTTGAAAAATTCTGTAAGGGTCTGTAAAAGATAATTTCTTTGAAATTTATTGTCCTTCCTTTTTATTCACAGTATTATTATATATTATCATGAACACAAAAGTCCACTCTTTTCAAATAGCATTTAAGTAATCTGTTCTTTTAAGGCACTATATTACACATTGCAGAATTATAAACTAAACTTTGTAGAGATCAAATTTTTTCCTTGAAATAATTTTGTTTAGAATTTTTGTTTAAATTGTGTTTAGAAATATTTTTTAAATCTAAAAACATAGCTAAGCAAAGAAGAAATAAACAATTGCTTAAGTGATGGATATTCATAGTACAATATATTGTTTCCTTTAGCGACATTGCCACTTTCTAATGTGTTGATATAGGCCTTATACACTGTATTTACAGTACCCTGAGTTTTGCAAGTAGATATTCTACAAAGTCAAGAATATCTAGTAGGGCACTATAACACAGTGGAAGTGATTATGGCATTCCATTTAAAGGTATTCTTCAAATGTTTCATGAAGGTTTTTTCTGTTTCTGTATGCTATAAAATAGAATAAGGAAAACACACTCTCCAAATATGTACAGGTTACAAAAGTTAAAGTAGATATGTTTGAGTGGATGGTTTATCTTAATGCACAAGTAAGACTGGTGCTGGGAGAGATTTATCTATTTATTTATTTTCCGAAGGGGTTAAACTTTAGTTCAATGTCACTTATTGCTTCTGCTGAATCTGGATTGGCATTCAATATTTAACCAAAAAATTATAAGTTAAAACGTACTCCTTATGTTATCCATATGATTTTGAGGAATCTTAGACACGTTGCCATCTCTACTGTATATGTAAGAAAAGATCATAGGCTGCCAAATACTTTACTTTCCATTTCCAGCAGATGGACAGTTAATAAGAGAAATCCCATGATGCCTGTACTCTATGGACTATCTTTGTGGACTTTCATTTATAAGGAACAATAATGAGCATTTTCAGTGAAATAAATTTATATTAAGACTACTAGTGACAATAGTATGAGATCTTTTCAACTACTCTGCTTATTGGAGTTCTTCTTTCATTTTTCTTTCTCTGAGAATAAAACCCTTCTGGTATTGAAGATGAACCATCCCATCACATTTGTCTTTCTCAGGGGAGACTGTAACAATGAGCTAAACCACATATCCTTATGCTGTGTTATGTACTGGTATTGGAATGACATTATACTGTGTTCTTCGTCTAGGTATTTTTCCACTGATAGAAAAAAATGTGGATAATGTACTTCATGAATAGTAAGCTTCGAGACTAAAAGTTGGGACCAACAACTCATAAGATTATTGGCTTATGTAGAGTGGATGTGAATTAACTGGTGTACTCCACTAAAATGGGAAAAAACTCTCCTGGCCCTTCCAGTGGTTGATTAGTTTATAAGATGGCTGGGATGTTATTTTGTGTGTCTGGTTTTTTATTCAAAAATTATACGTAATTTTCAAAAAAATAAAAACTTCTCAATAACTTAGGAAAACAAAGATTAGTGATTACAGTAAGTTTTTTTTTATATCTCTCTGAAAGTTTTACTTTCTGTAAATATCTAAGACATGTTTTTTAACTGAGTTTCTTCTTCAGTCATTCTGTCATTCTGATACAGGCTGATAGGATGTGCATTATTCAAACACAATTTGCTCCTGGAAGACTGTCAAGCCAGACATAATACTTTAAAATTTATCTTTGAGATTATGCAAATATAGTGACAACAGATATATGGTTTTTAAATGCTATTGCTAAAATTCTGCTCAATAGTAATTAGGACTTCCAGATTAATCTCTTCTATGGACAACACAATTTTAAAGGATTTCCTATGGATTCAAGCATTCTGATATAAAATAAGAGTTATGTTTTTCTCCTCTTCACAAGCTGGTAAATGTTCTATTCCTTTTTAAAGGTAAAACAACTAATTCCTTTTTAAGAATTATACAATTTTTGACATATTTTGGCATATTTCATAAAGTAGCTTCCTTTTTCAAATGTTACTCAAAACTTGATGGATGCTAAAAACATAAACATTTAATCTATAGTTTTTCCCCTTCATCTCACCTTGATTTCAAAATTGATTTCTTTCCACATTTCCACTGGTGACTTTCACTGAATGGGAAATAGTTTCAGCTAGAGGCATAGGATGCTGTTGTTGAAAAGCTCAGAGTCTTTGAAAAAAATCCATTCAAATTTTCTTTTTCTTTTGTTTGTTACATATTCAAGTAATGTTTGAAAGTATTTTCCTCTGAAGTTATGAAAGACATTTATAATATATCTAGATATTTAACTTCAAACTTCTTAAGTAAGGCTAGAAAAATGAAAAATTTTGAATAATAAAATTAGTAAAAGTAAGAAAATTAGAAATGAAAATAAAAACATACAATATGATCAGGGTTACAGATAATTCTTTTATTGTCCAATTTAAAGGTTGTATTTATGAACCAAAGGGCTGTTACAAGCAAAGCACTGTAACATTGCTGTTGCAATACTTTGCTTGTACTAAAAAAAAACAAAACATAAAATTTTTCATTGTTCAAATATGTGGGACTTCAAATAGTATCCCTACTAGTTGCTTAATGCAAATGTCACAGACTGAAATAGTAACAGGTGCTAGAATTTTCCTTCTTTTTCTAAAACTTATGTATTTACAGCTAATAATTAACTGTATTTACAGTTAATAATCTTAACTCCTAGTTAATAAAGTTTAGACTATAAGAAAATATATCGAAAGAACTTGCCTCTCCCCCCAAAAAGCTAACTTACAGATAATATTGTCTCATAGAGTTGAAGGAGGAAGTGGCTCGATACCTAATTTTATGTAACAATATAGTAGGTAGAGGCCTGTAAATAAAGAAAATGTTAGCCATTATAGAGGAGTTACTTCATTATTATTTTAGAGAAATCACCATGCTCAAAGTGTGACCTACCTTACACTTTTAAGCAACTTAATAAAGTCGGGCAAAGGATTTGTATTTTCTCCGCTGATAATCAAGTGATTCTACCAGGTGGTAGAGATGGTTAATGACAGATTAAATTAATTCTATCATACTATGATACGGTATTCTATTTTAATAATATTTGACATCTAAAAATGAGGTATCTAGTTTAACCTAATACTCCAGACATCCATAGTAACAAACTCTCAAAAGATATTTTATTGCTGCTTTATGGATGTCCAAAACAGATACAATGGAATGCCTTCTGAAATGAAATAATTTTACATTGTTAATGAGTATCTAAATTAATACCTAGGTTCAATGTTTAATTTTTAAAGGAATTTTTCCCTCAATTTTAAAAATTCAGTGGTGATTGTGCCTTAAAAACAGTATTACTTTCCTTACTTGAGCAAATAGTGGGAGGAAAATGTAAGTCCTATGCAGTTAAGCATATTCCCTGAATACCTGGGAAGGTTTTCTGGCTGTGAACATTGTATAGTATAATTTCAGAAATTAAAATATAGTAAAATTTAATTTTAGAAATAATGTTTTTAATATGATACAAGAAATATCCTACTTAAAATGTATACATAAATATATGCATACATCCAGATATTGATCATATATCTTTCTCAAATCTCTTTATGACACATTATCCTACAAATACCTTAGTTTATTCTAGAAGATTAGCTGAGCAAAAGTTTCTAATCAACATTTGGGAACACAATAAATCTGTATCATTTCTTTGCTGTTAGAAAGAGTATTTTTGAATAGGATGCTAAAAGATGGTTTTTTCCCCAGGAAAAAAAGGTCTATATTCAAGTAAAAATCACCATATATTGACACTTATCTTCTCCCTGCACATCCAGTTTCCTTTCTCTTTTCTCAGATATGATCCAAAAACTGATACATGGACAATGGTGGCTCCACTAAGTATGCCTCGAGATGCTGTTGGTGTCTGTCTCCTTGGTGACAAATTATATGCAGTAGGTGGCTATGATGGTCAAACATACCTGAACACTATGGAAGCATATGACCCTCAAACTAATGAGTGGACACAGGTAATCATAAAGTCTATTTTTTGTATTATGCTATATAAATATTATGTATTATATACTATTATGTTGCTACCTTTCACACAAAATTCTTGTTCCGATCAATTTCCGTATTAAATTAATTTTTTCATCTTTCTTCATGCAGAAGTAATATCATAAAGAATATCAAAATGGTTCTAGAATTTTAATTGGTAACCAGCATGTCCTGAAGATCCTTCATATGAAAATATGAATTTCATTCTTCTAATGAAATTAGGAGAATTTCATTCTTCTAATATCATTTCATTCTTCTATTCTATTTTCTTCTGTTTGACAGATATTTTGAAATGTTGAACCGTATGTATGTCTTTAATTTTGAACCATAAAAGAATTAATAGGTATAATAGAAATAGTAATATATGCAAGAAGCTGGGGGCAAGTGATTTGGTTGTAGAAGGAATATATGTCACAGTTTGCTGGAAAGATTTTAATTCATTGCATAGACTTTAAAAGAAACAAAAAGTTATTTCAACACTTTTTGTTATTAGTCCTGCTGCAGACTTGCTGAAAAAGTAATTTTTTCCACCATTGTAGATGTTTACATCTGAATTAGTCATCCTAAGTTCTCTTTAAAGTTAATGAAGAAAAGTGCATGCTTTGAAAGCATGATGTTATCCTAAATAAGCATTTAAAATAGGTGTGATATATTATACTCAAGAATACTTATTTTTTTTTGAAGTTGTAAAAGGAAGCTTCTGTTGAGAAGCTTAAATGTAGACATACACATAGAAATCCCTTGCATATCAACAGTTCACAAAATTAATGACAGCTCTAAAATTAATTCCTCTTTCTTCTGTTCTCACACTTAGATGAAAGATATCAGGTAGGAGTAAGTAATTTTAAAACTACAATACTAGAGTAGTGTGGTTTGTATTTATTTTTAGTGGTTTTGAGCATTTTAGAATAATGTTGACACAGCACTTTGGCAATTATTGCATGGCTTGTTCCTGTTCAGTTAATTTCTATCTGTTTTTCTGCAGATGGCATCCTTAAATATTGGAAGAGCTGGCGCCTGTGTTGTAGTCATCAAACAACCATGACTTTGTCAGCACTGCTTAGGATTTTACTGACTGTGAAATGATTATTTTTCTATGAGACAAAGAGAATGATAATTTCACAAGAACAAGGATTTACACAGTGAATACTCTGTTGATCAGAAACTTGAAGTCTGAAAGTGAGAAAGATTAAGTATTTATGTCCTATAAAATCGTAAAAACTGTTCACAGTCAGTGGACAAGAAAAAAAAAAACCAGAGTGTGTAGGCGTAAATATGTGAATGTGGAGTAGTAAGCTCAAGTTCTCATGAATGTGTCCTGGAGAACTGGATTACCAAGGTAAAGCTCTATACAAGAAGCAGAAAGGAACATGAAAACAGTTTTTGTGGCTGCGAGAGAACTGCAGAAACATTGAAGTACATTTAATAAATTTGAAACTGTGGTTTTTGAAAAAGAAAAGTTGATAGTAATATAATTTTTTTCTGTCCACAACCCTCAAGTGGGTTGTGGCCTTCTCATTTAAATGGGCAATTTGATTCTTACTGAAGGGAAGAGGTCAAATGGTCTGGATATTCATAATGGCTGAGCTGTCACTCTACAGTAGGAATAAAAACAAAACTAAAAGTAAACTTGTTTTGTATCTTCAGATTGTACCTCCTTACCAGTTTTAACACGTCTTATAAATTAATCTATTGAATGGGAAGACTGTGTGTTTAATCAAATAATACATAAAGCAATCCTGTGGCTGCACTGGGGCTTTGTTGCAAATATTGGAGTCAAAAGAACAGTTTCCTAATTCTTTCTTAGTCTTATATTCAGTTTAAGCATGTGGGCTCTACTCTCTTTTTTTAATGCATTCTACTGCATGTTAGAAGCTCATGACAAGCTGGAAAATTGATATTGTTCTTTCAGTGCATCATGTATCAGATGAACCCTGACCAGAACAGTCTATAGAACCTCCTCTAATATTTCAAGAGGGAGAAAAGTCCTACATTTTAGTTCTTTCTAATGCTCGCAAATTTTACCTAACTAGAGCTGGCAATTTATGACTTTCCACTTATGACTGAGAATAACTGAGAATAACTCCAAGTAGGCAATTCAGAATAAATGCAAGTGAAATAAGGAAAAATATACCATTTGATCTAATAAAGTTCATATGGTAAATATACTAGTGCCATCTGTACTTCCCTTTAGAGTTGATAATTTCTGCCAGTAATGATACTTTGAGCTTTTACTTTGTGAGTGGATTTAACGCTGATGCTTTCCGTCTGCTCAGCTGAATCAGTTAGAACCTAAGGCCACTAATGGAATATGAAATTCTGCTATTCAGGGAGGTACAGTTTCTGGGAACAATTCTAGCAAGTATACTTCTTTAAAGCCCTGCTGATCCCTTAGGAAACATTTCATGGTCCAAAAGCAGAAACCTCACAATCCTCTGTCACTAGCAATTTTGAGAAGTAATTCTGGTTGCACTAAAACCAGTTTTCCAATGGAAACCTTTGAAACCACTTGAGATGAAAAATTACATACAGCTTCCAGCTTGGGACATTTTATTTGAAGATATGTCTTTCTGCCTAACAGCATCAACATGCATGGAGATCGTTACTGCTGCAAACTGAACCTCAGTTCTGAAGCCTAACTATACTGTATTAAATCTTTTAAATACCTCTCTGTACTAATTTGAAATCAACCAAAAAATCTTCACATTGGTTTTCTACAGCCACTTGGCTTTTGAATTGCAATTAGTCTTCCACAGGCAAGCATGTCCGTTTTTCTCCAACCACGAGAAGCTGTTGAATAAAAGATGTTACCTCTCTAAAGATTTTACTTCACATAAACACAAACTTCTAAGACCAAATGAAAAAGATTCTAGCATTATAATTGTAATATTAAGTATAGACATTGGCATTTGGTTCTACACAGATACCTAAGGAACTTAGAAACTGAATTTTAATTCTATTCCCAGAACTTTCTTTTGATTACATTATGTCCATACACAATAGAAATATGATTGTTCTACCTATATATTGATCTTCAAAATTGGATTATTTCTATTGATTGTATTCTGTGGCAGATTTGTTTTCTGTGCCTTGTTCATTCTTATCCTCAATTTGTCTTCTATTTTATTTTTGATTCTCGATTTCCTTTTACATTTTTTCCATTTGTCTTTATTTTGCCAAAATGGAACATGATTCTCATGTGAAATTTTTCAGACTATTCCACTTCTCTAATGCTGAAAGAATAAAATTTTTATTTGTTTTATTTAGGTTATGTAAAATCTAGCCACAATAAGAGCCAAATTTGGCTTTCATATTCTTTTTATGCAACTACATCAATATGCTCTGGAGTCTCTTCTAGAAGAGACTCTTCTAGAGTCTCTTCTAGTGGATAATTTTTTATTAATTTTTTTTCTTACCATTATGTTTTACCTTTATTTTCACAGGGAATGCATTTAAATTGAAGTAGTCTATAACTGTAGTCTTGGTTTCTGTGATTCATTAAGACCTGTTTTTTATTTATGAGACTTAAAATCACTTCTGATACACTGAATTGTGCTAAACAATATTACATTTACAGGAAAAGCTATTGTCTTTTCAAAAAACTGATAACCTCGTTGTTAGTGATCTAGCATGGTTTCTTTTCTCTCACATAATTTTGAAATCATACTTGAAAATTGATTTCAAAGTATGAAAATCAGAGTGGAATCAGAACTGCAGCAAATATTAGTTTCAGTGAAATCAATAACTGAATTCCTCAAAATGCTGCTTTTAAATTTTATAGTTTAATAGTCTAAGTATGGTCTCAAATGTTAGCTTTTTCTCTATATTTCCAAATTTTTTATTCAAGAGCATCAACCAGCTTTATTAGAAAGTCCTTCCCCCCAGGTGGGGCTTTTGGTGTACCAGTGGCTAATAGCCATTCTGGGGCTGGACTAGAGGCTCCAGGTGGTGGGGTGTGGAGTAGTGCACTGGCCCACCTTGGCTGAACTTGTCCTGCTCCCCCCACCCCCAACTTTAGTCATTTTGAACCAGTAATCATTTTCTCCAGTCTCTCACAGAAGGGACCTTAAAATCATCTAGTTCCAATCCCTCTGTCATAGGCAGGGAAACCTTTTACTAGGACATGTTGCTCAAAGCCCCATCCAGCCTGGCCTTGAACACTTCCAGGTATGGGGCACCCACAACTTCTCTAGGCAACATGTTCCAGTGCCTCACCAAGCTCACAGTAAAGAATTTCTTCTAATATTTAATCTAAACCTACTCTCTTTCATTTCAAAGCCATTACATGCCCTTGCAAAACACCCCTTTCCAGTTTTATTGAGGCACTTAGAGGGCTGCTTTAACATATCTCTGAGACATCTCCAGGATGAACACTCCAACTCTCTAGCCAGTTTTCATAGCAGAAGTGCTCCAGCCCTCTGGTTATCTACATGGCCCTCCTCTAGATTTACTTGAATGGATCCAGGTCTTTCTAATGCTGCTGGCCCCAGAGCTGTACACAGTACTCTAGGTGGTGTCTCACGAGAGCAGGGGGGAATAATCACTCCTTAGACGTGCTGGCCCCTCTTCTGATGCAACCCAGGATACAGCTGGCTTTTTGAGCTGCAAGCACATGTTGCCAGCTCATGTTGAGCTTCTCATCCAATAACACCCACAAATTTTTCTCCTCATTGCTACTCTCAATCCATTCTCTACCCAGCCTGTATTTGTGCTTGGGATTGTCCCAGCCCAGATACAGGACCTTGCACTTGGCCTTGTTGAACTTCGTGAGGTTCATATGGACCCACCTCTCAAACCTTACAAGATCCCTCTCTAGGCTCCAAGTCTCTCTTTCTGCCTCTGTCATTGAACTGGTAGTAGTGAGATAGATTGAGATTTTGCCCCCTGCCCCCCAGAAACTTTAGTTTAAAGTTCTTTCATTCATGACCAAATTTTCTTCTTGGAGTGCTTACAGAAGCAATACCTAAAAGACAAAATAAGTGCCTTCCCCAGAAGAGGAAATTCTTATAACGGTGGCAGTGCTTTTAATATTTATTAATAAAATTACTAAAGAAATCATAGAAAAAATTACATTTTTGCAGGGCTTTAATTAGTTATTTAACTAAACAAAATCAAGAAAAATACCATAGCACATCATGTCTCTGTTTTTCAAATTAATTAATATTTCTGATTTAATTCCTTTCAAAATGCTAGATAGTTAAACTTCAAAAATTATTCTCTAGACAATGTTTGAGGCTGTATAAATATGGAATATAATTCAAGTTGAAATCAATAGAAAAAATAATCAAGAAAAATAGGTAATTTTTTTCAGGTGACGCTTTTGATCTGTTTCTACAAATATTGTAGTGTTAAAAGATCCATTTTGCAAAATAAATACTAACCTTGTGATGCTCTGTTCCTTCTGGAACTGTTGGTTACTTTGCAGTTTTGGACCCTTCCTTTTAGTTATTTTTTGCATTTACTTTTCATTATTGACAATGATGGATGCTAGAAATATAATCCCCATTAGAAAATATCTACATAGAAAAATGTCATTTACTAGCTAGCACTTTATTATTGACATTATGTGATCCAGTTTTATTGAGAAGTTTTGCATTGAAATCAGTCACAAATAAGACAATAAAAAGATCTGTAGGTAAGAATGTTGTTGCTTTGGCTTTAATTACAACTGTTCAATATGTATTTTTATACATGTTCTTGCAATCAAAATACTAATATTGTTTATAACCAAAAGTAAATTTAAAAAAATCCTTTTACATATAGAACAGTCTTTTATTCATATGAAACTGGTCAAATTATTACGGCAATTTTAGGATGCTTTCAGGGAGTTGCCTGTCTCATAATTTTACTCCGTTAAGTTAACATTCATTGATGTAAGGGAATGATTTTGGCATAGACAAAGGATCTTTTCCTTGAGTAACATTCTCTTCTACAGAAAATTGCCATCAGTTGACCATTATTTTAAATCTACATATGTTAAAATATATCTGGAAAGCTCTATATATTATCCAGATAACTTTTATATATTTAGAAGGCCCAAATAAATTCCCCTAAATATATTTGCCAATGACTTAAACACTTTTAAATTACTTCAATAAAAATAACTCACAAATGAATTTGAAGTTATGCAAGTTTTAATGACTCAGACCTTGATGTCCATTAGCAAACACTAGAAATACCATGCATTGTGATTATAAATGTAATACTGTTTTTCCACAACAGAATTCACATCTTGGAAGACTTCCTTATTACTGTACTCACAGTGAACCGGGCAAAACAAAATGTGACCTATTATCTGTGACTTTGCCCTAGGTATTTCATGAGGAATAAGTAGAGAAGGCATTTCTGAAAAGACTTTAAAAAACTTTTGTAACTGTTATCAGTAGCAATATTAGATTACATGAATAATCTTGTAATATTCTTCAGCATTATTCTAAATCTAGTGTAAAGCTGCTCAGGTTGATATAACCTTGCATTTCATTCCAAATTCCCTTATATTTCTGCTTCATAGTACATTGGGGATGTATGCTTATGGACACAGAGAGACTGCTCAAAATCATTAAATCGGCAAAAGTTTGATTTCCATGTGTAGGACTTCAGCTGTTGAAAATTAAACCATAAGGAAAAATACTAGCACAGGTAAGAATTGTAGTGGCAGGGAACAATACAACCTCAAATCACTGGCTATCCACAGCTTCACCTTGGGGAATCTGTAGAGCTACCAAATCCATCACCCTCTAAGGATTACAAAAGTAGTCAAAGCTGAGGTATAAGCACCTTAAGCTTCCGTAGCCCCATATTTTCCCAGATTTCCTATGATCACATGATACTTAAAAATGCATAAAACTTACACTAATAATAATAAATCTTCCCTTGCAGAAGTCTAGTACTCCTCAGAATTAGGTCTGTGAACCAGGTTCATGTTCAGTCTTCTTCACTTGGAAGGCTAGGTGGGTGTGTTAAGTCTGGTATCTTTACTAAACTGTTTCTGAAGTAGCTAACAAAAGTCACTGAAGAGGGCTACCTCTGATGGTCTCCAGGAAGAAATATTGTTCCAAAGGTGAGATATTTCAATTAAATGGATGAGCATTCAGTTTAATCGCCCCCACATAAGTGTCTAATACCATCTGAGATGCCCAAAATTATCTGAGTCATCCACATTGGGCTGGCAAGTATGGCACAGATGAAGTTAGGAAGGGATAACAGAAGTTCAAAGAGGAAGCTGTAAAGTATCCCAGCTGATATTAGATACTTTTTTGTATATGAATGACTTTGAGTGCAATTCCGTAAAGATTTGGGTGGCATATTTCAGTCACATAGTGGGAAATCTCACATGTAGACATAGTGTGGAAAAAGACAACCTTTGGCTTGAGGTTCTGGGTTTTTTCTTGTTTCTACATCTGTATATTTTCCAGGACATCAATTAATTTAAAATGGTCATTTGTTCCATTTCAAAGGGAAAAGAGAAAGAAGACTTGCAATAGCAGCATGAATGAATAAATATCCATTTCATAATATAGAGTATATAGGTATCTACTATGCAAATGTCCACATTAGAATTATACATCAAAAGCTTTTCCTTATCACTAGAA